CAGTTCCATTACACAGTGCATGGTGCTTGCTAAAAGATCATTCATAAACATGTATCGCGACGTAGGATACTACTGGTTGCGACTTGGTATATATATTGCGTTGGGTTTTGCATTAGGAACGGTTTTCTACAATATTGGCTCCGGATTTGGCTCCTTAAATGTAAGTTCTATATTGTAATATAACAAGTTTATAAGTGTAAAATTTTTGCATAATTTCTACACAAAAAAATCTATTTTGTTAAAGAAAAAATATGTCCCAATAAGGAAGAAACCGTTGCTAAAAAACAATTTCTTGTTCTGTGAGATGCCAATACTATATTCGTAGCTTGAAATGTTCAATATCTAAATCTTGAAAACTTTCAACTCTCGCTAAGAAGTCTGTTTACAGATTATAATTACACAAGAAATAAGTTTGAAATGAATGTTCTTTCTGCTACCAATTCGGAAAAAAGTTAAAGACTACCAATTTGACGAGGGTAAGTTATTATGTCTACAAACAAGCTTATTTGTTTTGGTGTTTCAGATCATCTGCATATATAGATATTGAGAACTGTTTGTTATGGCTCGTAATGACACAGGCCAGGCTTTCATTGCTCATGTTTGTTTCTTCATTCCTTACCATTTTAGCCATCGGTGGTTTCCCCTCATTTGTAGAGGAAATGAAGGTTTGTTGATATATTTCATGTGTTCTTGAAGGAAAAAAAATACATTCAACAAATTTTCTTCTCTAACAACTATGGTCTAACTACCTTTGTGTAGGTCTTCCAATGGGAAAGATTAAATGGGCATTACAGGATTGGATCATTTGTTATCAGCCATGCAATCTCTTCAGCTCCCTACCTGCTTCTCATCTCATTAATCCCAGGAGTAATAGCTTATTCACTTGCAGGTCTTCAAAGAGAATATGAAAGATTCATCTATTTCTCATTAATCCTTTTTGCGTCAATGTTACTGGTTGAATGTCTTATGATGATCGTAGCTACCATCATGCCAAATTTATTGATGGGCATCATATCTAGTGCTGGAATCCAAGGGTTGATGATACTAAGTGCAGGGTTTTTTCGGTTGCCAAATGATCTACCGCATATATTCTGGAGATACCCTATGTACTATATTTCGTTCCACAGGTATGCATTACAAGGATTGTACAAAAATGAGTTTGAAGGGCTTGAGTTCCCAGAGTACGTAGGAGGTCCTCCTACCATCGATGGTAAAATGATATTGAAGGGTGTATTGCAAATCGAGACAGGATACTCTAAGTGGATCGATCTTGGAATCCTTTTTGGTATGGTGTTTGTATATAGGGTATTACTCTTTTGTACCATCAAGACAACAGAAAGGGTGAAGCCGATTGTTAGAGCTTTTTTGTTGACTTCTACTTTTAGAAACTAAAAATGCTTGTGTTTGATCCAAGGTCTCTCTCTTTTGTTTCAGATTATATAGTCTACGGAACCTGAAAATGCATATGTATCTAAAAACCATGCTATCAAATATCAATCATGCCTACTGATAACTCTCATTTTTTTAGAGTTATTTCTTATTTATTTCCTCCATTTTTGTATTTATGAAATACTCAATTTTCTTGTTTTTCCCCTTTTATTCTAAAAAGTTTTAAAAAGATGATGAAACACAAAGAAAGAAATTTTATTCTAAAAACCTGCATTTTCTGGCAAACTGTCTACTGTGGGAAGTCCACGAATTTTGTTGTTTTCTGCTTCTTGGAAGATGTGCTGCTTGAAAAATCCTCCGTGAGATTTCCTACAGATGTAATTAACTATTGAGATGTATCTTTTATTTTATTTTTATTTTAGACCTTTTGTCCAAAGGTCTTTACCCCATGGATTTTGTGCTTTTATTATCCTTTGGATAATAGCTTTGTCTTTATTCATTTCCCTCCTATATAAAGAGGCCTTGGGAGCTCATTTGAAGACACAACCAAGACATCCTCTAGATAATCATACTTCTCTCATCTTTTATCTCTCTCTTTTATTAAGCTTTTAATATTGTAGCTAATGTTCTTTTTTTTTATTTAGTTGTAATTTAGCATTTTATTTCCTTGTATTAAATTTGTAATTTAGTTTTATATTAATACAAGTTACATTTCAGTTTTATTTAATGTCTTGTATTATGTTTATTATGTCTATTATTAGCTAATTTACTCGTATGGGTGTGGGTGTGAGTTTAACTTAGGATTTTTATACAATATTTGAGTGTTTTTACTATTTACCACTTCGTAACTTGGCCACTTAAGACGAGACTAAAACTCGACGCAGATAGCCGATCACTTTGAAGTTTGAAGTGTTAATATTTGATCTTAGACCCAGATATGGGCAGATCCGAAATACGGTTTAAGTGATGCACAAAAAAACTCGAGAGGGTCTTTGATAATTGCGTGGAGACGCAAATTTTGTATGCATTTAGCTAAGAATCGCTTTATTCTTATCACAAAGAGATTTGGGTATGAATTTTATTTCTTTTACTTTTTGACTAAATCGGCAAGTTTTGAAGTGGCAAACATAAGAACTTTGTGAAATTTTATGAGGCCTGTTTGTAAATTTTCACTTTCGAGAGATTTGAATTTTTATAAACAACTCATAAGTATCTAAACATTTTATTGTTAATTTTATCTTAAGGAATACTTACACCCATGCTCGTTCTTTAGTCTAAAAGTTTATTTCACTATTTCAATCCTTTTTAGTCTTTTTATAAACAAAAATCCAACTTTTATTCACAACCCAAAACTCGAGCAAGAAGTTCATGAAAGTCTCTGAATTTCAGTAGTCTAGTCCCTGTGGAACGATCTCAATATTTTACCACTTTATTACTTGCAAGCGATCATAGTATCGGCGTGCACTTGCACTGCCACTGTGGGGACTTTGTGCCCACTGTGTGAACACGAACGATTCTAGTCTGTTAAGTTTTTGGCACCGCTGTCGAGGATTGGCGCAATTTTTATCCTGAGATATTGAGTTTTCATTAGAGCCTTGGCCATTTGTTTCAATCGCATTTTCCGTATTGTATGCCAAAGCTACAATACGATGAACGTTTACCTCTTGATCTTGAATTAGAAATAACCATTAAAAGACGTAGAAGAGGTTGAAATAATTGGAACCATACCATGGGGGATATGTTGTATTTGTATTAGTGATGGTCGTCGGGTTGGAAACAATATCAAAACCAAAATATAAAACATACCGGAACCGAATCAAACCAAAAATGATTTGATGTTCTTGGTTCTATTTTAGTTTAAAAAATGTAAACTTAAAACAAAGTCATTTAAAAACCATTTTAAATGATTCAGTTTCAACATAATCGGTTCAAAAACCATTTTAAAAGTTCTACGGGACATTTATCAAACACTATAAGATAAACATTTACCGATAGGAGTTATCACTTTCACTTGTTTTGTTGGATAACATCGTCAGTCATCAAAATGGATTGTTGGTAAGTATTTATCACATAGTAAACGCTTACTGGATAAAACTCTCAATCATTGTTTTGCCTTTTACCGGGTAAAATTGTCGGTCCTTGTTATGCTTATCCAGTAAGGTCACTGACCCTGTAAACACTTATCCGATAATAAAGATGGTCAAAAACCAGTCTTGTGTTGAGATTGTCCTCTTGTAACCGGTCACATCGTAATTGGTCTCGATCCTGATCCCGACCAAAAAATCCGACGTTCTTCAGGCATAAAACCCAGTCCCGAACCGAGCCAAAATCGATCCCAGTTTTTTTTTTTTAAATCAATTTTAAACATATAAAAAATCTTGTTTGAAGATTTTTTCTAAACAATATCTTATTGAAATATACTTTAAAATATATAATTGGATCATTCAAAATACACCTTTGATTTTTTTACACAAAAATGTTATATATTGTTTTACAATTATGATTTTTAAAATTTAATATCAAATATAATTTAAATGATCTATACTATATTGTAAAGCATTTGACAAAAATTCTTAAAAATAATTTTTTATGCATAAAGTACTATTTATTTATGCATATTATTTAAAATTAAATATTACAAGTAATTTGTGCGTTAGTACAACTTATTAAAGTTTTATGTTTTAATTCATATAACTAATTGCAGATAAATATAATCAAATATATCTCATTTTAAATATAAAAAATCTAAAATATAATTACGATAATCGTTGACTTCTAACAAAATATTTGATTATTATCTTTATAAAAAAATATTTTATTAAATCAAAATAAAAAATGAATTAAAGAAATACACAAAAAGAAGAAAATTTAAATAGTTAGTCCGATATTAATATCAATATTTTTTTTCAATTTTTTATGATATCTTTACAGTTGTATTTTATTCAAAAATAAAAATATTATCGCTTTCTCAAAACCACATAAAACCGTATTATAACATCGACCAAGGAAAAAAACGAAACATTAAAATCGAAATGTATCTCGCTGCATTGTACGAGTACCCTCGTAGTATATTTAAATAGATAAAATTATGTAACACTTAAAAAGGGGCCGTTTACCAAACCCTTACTCGTAAAAATTAACACTATCATTTACTTACCGTGTAAGATTTTAGTCCACCAAAACGGTATCGTATGCAACATTTTACACGGTAAGCGCTTACTGTGGTAAGAGTCGTCATCTTCACGTATCGGGTAAGACTCTGGGTCCTTGTCTCGCTCTTACCGGGTAAAATTATTGGTTTTTACCATATTCATCCGGTAAGAGAATGTGACTTGATATTCACTTACCCGAGTAAGTGTTTGGTAAACGGCCCCTTAAAAAAAACTCTAAAAAAAATAACTCGAATTTTTTATAAATAAAGTTGAAAATCTTTTAAAAAACTTAAGATATAATTTATAAAAAATTTAAAATTTTAAAAATAAATAAACATGATATCGTATAACCGATTCCGATCCAAACCTTGAACTTTCATAAAATACATAATCGATCCTGGACCATGGGGCCATGACGTTCCCTACCGGTCCCTGTCGATCCGAGCCAGACCGGGGCTCGGTCCCTGTGTGTAAGCATTTGGTGAAGAGCTGGGCCAAAGTGAAATATATAGAAAGGGGAATAAATCAGAGTAATTTGCGAAGCATTTCAATAGGCTGGCTCGGTTCCAACTTCTCTCTGCGTGGAGAGAAGCTATGGAGGAGGGAGACGTCGATATGGTGGCGGCGGATAGCGGTGCTGTACGGTTCTTTAACTCTCTATTACTACTCAATTAATTGTGTCGTTAAATTTTTTTTAGAATCGTTTTTACTATGAACCCCTAATTTATCGATTTGATAGTCATCACATCGACTGAAACTAGGAATTATGAATTTGATGGTAACAGGAGCTAGGCGATATGAAGAAGAGACTAAAGGAGATGGAGGATGAAGCTGCTGCTTTGCGAGAAATGCAGGCCAAAGTCGAGAAGGAAATGGGTGCTACTGCAACTCAAGGTTTTTATTATTCATAATTTTTGCTAATTTTCTCTTTTTTAGTTTCAAAAACGTGATGTAATGATGCTGAGATTGTACGGCTGAATGCATATGAAATTTAAATTGTTTGGGGCTAAGCTAAGCTGTCCTTTTGATCGGATCTACTATATCAGTGCCTTTTTTATATACATGTCTCTATGTAATACATACATATAAGAGGAAGAAATGATATGCAACCATGTAGGTCAAGCCGAAGTGATAGTCTAATGGTAAAGGTCTGTGAGGGTTAACTTTTGCTTAAACCCTACCCGTTTATGTACTGATTAGCTGAATGGGACTCCATAAGACCATAACTAGAATTTTGTTGTTTGACTGTTTGTCAAGTTTGATACTGAAGGCGGGTCTTAAAGTTTTTCTGGAAGAGGAAAAACCCAAACTAATGATATCATCATTGAAGTATGTATGCCCATATCTTTGCTTTCAGTCATTTCCACCTGAGCTGAAAAAATTATGAGTGATCAGTTTGAAATTGAGCAACAAAAGTAATATTGTGAGCACGTTTTTGGAATGGGATTATAGCAAAGTTGTGTCTTCCTCCTTTTTCTATCATTTAATTCTTTGTACCATCTTTGATTTAGATCTAGCATCTGGTACCATTCTTGATTTAGTTACCATCACATACGCAAAGAGATTATCATGGATGGAACTAACTTAGACATATGGATAACATCATCACCATCATCCAACATCAAAATGCATTTTATCCCAAACTAGTCACTCACTACTTCCCCACATTTCAATCTTGGCTGATTATCCTCTAACACATGTTGCAATCAAAAACCCATGGAACAAGGTGAAATAGTCACATGCACAACTTAAGGTGCTTATTCTCCAACAAATGTTGTAAAAAGTGGTTAAACAAACTAAAATATTATTTGTAGATCTTGTCGGATGAAAATGGGACCTAAATGAGTACTTCTTTAAGGCTGCTACTTTGAAGTTAAGTCTAATCCCTTTCGTTACGGTGAATGTGGGAAATATTATCACCAACTCTTGTAAATTTTAATTGTGGATTTTCTCATTGTTTATGGGTGATCAACTATAAATCTATAACGAAATTCATGTATAAATATGTTATGGCAAGATTTTAGGGGAAAGATCGAAGATGCTGAAACAAAGCCCCCGAACATGCTTGCCTATGCTAGTAGGAGGAAGTCAAACACAATAATTACAAACCAACTAATACGTGACTATCTAATGGGGAATGGTTTGTTATCATAACTAGAAAAGAGAGAGGGTATTGATTGGAACCTATCTCTTTGTTGTTAGGTCATGCTAGAAGTTGGGATCTCTTTTGACTAGACTTTTTGTTTTACTCTTTATATTTCTTGTTCATTACTTTCAAGAAAGGTTTCTCTCTATTGTTTTTTCTCCATCAAATTGGTCTGACATGTCACTTTAGATCCTTGTCTTCCCTTCCCTCTTGTTATAGCTATATCATATCAAAAACAAGAATTTATTTCATAAAAGCTTCAATAAAGAAAACAATGACCAAGTTGGATCCCTGCTTGGGGATCTCAATTGGTGTCACGTATACGATGCAACAACCCAAGCCACCACTCCAGAGACTATTGGAAGGTTGTCTAGAGCTTTGAACAAGTAAATCCATTATTGTTTTTGTGGACCCTCCTATGATTTTGGCCACTACAAGCTCAGTTTTCTTGCTTTACAAAGGGTGGAGTTTCTGTACTTAGCTTCTAACCCACTTCAGCACCAAAGAACCAATTACGAAGGGGTTACCGGCACAGTTATTTTTAGACTTTAGGTAGCGTTTGGTATGCCGACATGATTGGACAGGACTGGATAGGACAAAACAGGACAAGAGGGTAGGACTGGATAACACAAGAGTATGTCTGGTGTTTGGTACGACTAGGACTAGATAGGACAGAACTAGACAAGCTACCTCCAAGAGTTATTTGATGATTTTAAATGTTATATAATAGTTATAGTTAACACAAATAAAGTAAATAATTAAAGAGTTTAATTTATAAATATTTGTACACAATTTTCATATAAATGAATAGATACATATATAATGGACCAAATTTGAATGAAAATTTTGATATAATTGATGGTAGTAGTGGTGGCAGTGGAGGTGGTTTTAGTTATGGTGGAGGTGGTGGTGGCCGACGGTAGTAGTGGCAATGGGCGGTGGTGGACGGCGGTGGTTATAGAGGACATGAAGATGGTGGATTGTGGTGGTGCTGGCGGTTAACAACGGTGGAGGAGGTAGTTATGGCTGATGTAGTGAATATAGTTGTGGTGGTGGTTATGGTGGAGGTGAGGTGGCAATGAATGGTGGTGGCCGATGGTGTGGAGGAGGTTGTTGCAGTAGAGGAGGAGTTGGAGGTGGCCAACGGTGGTTGTGTAGGGCATGGAGGAGGTTGTTGCGGTATAGGAGGATTTCAAGGGGGCCAACGGTGGTAGTGGTAGTGGTAATGTGTGGTGGTGGTCGGTAGCCGATGGTGGTTGTAAAGGTGGCAATGGATGGTGGTGAAGGAGATTGTTGTAGTAGAGGAGGAGTTGGAGGTGGCAATGGATGGTGGTGTCGATGGTCGACTATGGTAGTGGTGGCGATGGACTTAGTGGACGGTGGTTGTGGAGGCGGTGGAGGATGTTGTTGTAGCGGAAGAGGAGGTGTCGTCGGTGGTGGCGGCGGCGGCAGCCGAAACTAGAAGTGATAACCATTAAAATAAATATCATATTAAGGTTATATATCAAACTGGGGTAGATTAGAATTATTTTAGTTTCTGTCTCATTTTTGTCCCATCTTGTTCCACCTATTTTGGTGGAACAAGAAAAAGCCTCTTTTGTCTCATGTTGTCCCACCTTGTCTCAGTTCTTGTCTCTGTCCCATGTCGCGCCAAACATGGGACAGTGGGTTCTTGTTCTGTCCCATGCTGCACCAAACATGGGACAGTGAGTTTTGTCTCGTCCTGTCCTATCCCGTCCTATGTACCAAACGCAACCTTAGAAATAATTTAAGCATTCGTCAACCTCCCGCTCAAACTGAGGGTGTGTGTTAAAGCATGTATTTTTATATCTCTTATTTGTTATATCTGTATAATATAAGGACCCCTTTGTAACATTGTATTCTACACATACTAAGCAATAATATGCAAACCCTAACGGGATTTCCACATATTCCAACACAAACTCTCTCACAACCCAGTTTTTGTATTCTTTTGGATTACTTATCGAACTCTCTCTAATAACCCACTTCCTATATTTCTTTGTTAATAGTGGTGATAGACCAGGAGAGTACACACACACACACACACACACACACACATATATATATATATATATATATATATATATTCTAGAGGTAGTGGTAGTGGCAACTAGCAATGTATATGTACTACTTATATATAGGGATGAGATTAGGATCCCCTGAAAAAGAAAGAACTGAAGAACCCATCCAAGCCATTGGATTGAGATGATCAACAGATGTGATTAAGAAGGTGGTTATAACCACCTTTCTTAAAAATAAAAATATTTGCCCTAAATTTTTAAATCGAAAATCAGTAAAATACAGAAAAATTGGAGTAAAACAAATTACACCAAAAAAATATCACTTTATTATTATCTTTAATTTGACATCCATTTTGATATATTTTTCATCCGTTTTTTTGTGGTTCTCCATTTTTTTTCAAGGTTCTCTCATGATCTTTTCCCTCTCTTTCTCTCTCTCTCTCTCTCTCTCTCTCTCTCTCTCTATATATATATATATATATTCCAGTGGTAGTGGTAGTGGTAGTGGCAGTGGCAGAACACAATCAATGTATATATTTTGTTGTTTCTAGTGATAATAATTTGGTGTATATATATTACTTTGAATTTTTTTTTCCGCTCGAGTTTATGCTTCAGACCCCCTCGAGGCTTACGCCTCGCCTCACGTTTCTGTACTTTAAAACCTTGTATGGAGGTTTTAGTTCTTTCAGATGGCTTGATCTCAGATAGGAGTACTTGAGGGTGACATATTAGGATAGTCGATTGCAAGTAGCTATGTTGTTTATTACGCGTCTATAGCAGTCAATTTTTTGTATTTGAATATTCATTTGAAATTTTTTTATAGGGCTCTACTGCTATACGGACTCGAACCATAGACTTTCTCGGTAAAACAGATCAAACTTATTATTATCAAAATGATCTGCTATCCGGTTCGTGGCCATAAGGCAAATAGCGGTCCCGAGATTAGCAGCGCTGTTGAGCGCTAAATGCCTGCATTTTGAACGCAAAAAGAAGTGGCCGCATAACAGCTACTTGTAGATAGGTTATTGCTGTTAAAAAGGTAATTTTGTGGGTTTTCTTTGGACCTGCATTGGGGTTATTTTAGTCCAACAATATTAAGGCTTCATTATTCTTATTTTTTTGGACTTGGACACTTTTNGTTTTCTTTGGACCTGCATTGGGGTTATTTTAGTCCAACAATATTAAGGCTTCATTATTCTTATTTTTTTGGACTTGGACACTTTTGACGCCTGGCTTTGAATAAAAATGTATTCACATTGTTTAATTATTATTATATAGACTTGGACATCATAATTCTTACATATATTTTTATTGATTACATATGATATGTTGAGTTATGTAGACATACAAACATATATATATATATATATATATATATATATAATTCTAATTATTATATGAGCCGCTATTTTTGGACCATTATACCAGCGCTTTATCATTGCAATAACTGCTATTTCAAATCACAGTCCTGACCGTGATTACATATATTGACTGCTGTAACAACGTAGGCATGTTGTGTGTTCTTTTTTTTGGA